TTTTTTTTATGTTATAACTGTGTATTTTTCACCTAATTTTAGGAAGGGGAGGGGCTCCGGGGTGGGTGAGCCAACTGGGCGTTCAACTTTTATCTCGTCTCAGCTTTTTGCACGAGATAACCATCTCATCCACCCCAGAGCCCCTCCCCTCCTCAAAAATAGGGTTTTATCGGCAAGCATATCAACATGTGCCATGTGTTAGTTTGTTCTAAAGCACGCAACACATCAGTACAACCTCACCATCAATTCCCAGACTCAGGCCCAGACTACTATTTCGCTGGGGAGACCGCCAGACAAGAAAAGTGCCGCGCCGCCGCGTGGCACCCCCCAACCCACTTAGCACTAAGGGAAGGGCCCAATCTGACGGCCATATGATTGGATGTGTTCCACGTATGATTGGTTGGGTTCATAGTCCGCTCCTACCAGTTATACGGATGGGCGGCGGGCAACAGGGGCAGTGCCAGGCGACAGGGCTGGCAGGCGTTCTGATACTATTACTTTACATAATATCAACTGGTCGATCACATTTTTACATTAATCGTTTAGTGGTTTACGTTGAAAGATGTCCTACTGTTCAAGCATTGTCTCCTCACTTCTTATCAATTTTAATTCTCCAATTATTCCGAGGATTTTGAGTAGGGAAGTCTATTTTTATTAACTCACTATTTCATCTATTCATGCCAAATGATCGATAAATTATGCGGCTTATGCTAGCTCAACGTAATTCAAACCCTTAAAATAGGCGTTAAATGCTGCGGGACATTAGTCTCGGGGGTATCGATCCACGCCGCTGCCAGCTGCCCAGCAGCTGCCAAGGCGCGAAGTACGAACGCAACCAATTCTTTTTAGACTTTAGTGAATCTGATGACTGTTGAGAATAAATCAGGTCTAATAGGTAAAATCGGGATTGAAACACTTGTTTTCTTATTCACTTACAGGATATTAGGTCCGACGGGGAATGGAAAGATAAAGACCAAGCGATAACTCAGAGAAAAAATATGAAAAAGGTCCTCACCGAGCCAGATCGGAAGTCTTTGCCAGCTGATGGAGATGTCAATCGTCTTTCAGCTAGTTTCGCATAGACTGGACGATAGAGAACCACCTGTAATCGGAAAATACATTACTTTCAATATCTTTCGGTAGTATGGAATTGGACAGCGAGTAAGGTTTCACTTATCGAATCGGTGCAATCTAATATAACCCACTTCTTCCTCTCTTTCTTCAAGATCTCCTTCTCCATCATAGACCTGACCTAGTCTGAATTCTGGTGATACGTATTTCCCTCCTTCGACATGATTTGCGCAAAACTCTGAAATTACATTGTAAATAAAACGCTCTTGCTTTAAGAGAATAAATTACGCAGAGGGCAGAGGTGAAACACACTTTTTTATCATTTATTTTTATTTTTATTTATTTTTGTTGAACTTTGTGGTCAGTGAGCGAGGGAGGGGTAATAATAAGTGGGACGTACGGTGGTTCTGGATTCACAGAACCCAGCTCGAAGTGTTGGTAATGACCAAACCCCCATTTTCAGAATTGACCTGCCAATACAGGAGTCTTTTGGGAAAAACAATCCCATGTGTACATCAACCGATCTTGAAAGTAATTGTACATATGAGTGTTTCAGTGCATTTCTGAATTTACTGGTCGTTGACGAAACTGTGCATGTTGCTTGGACAGACACCAGTGGGAGCAATCAATGGGTTTCTTTTCTTCTGGGTTTTTTTTTTAGGTTTCTTTTCCTTTTTTTAGAAAGTTCTTTGTCATTGCTTAATGTACCGTTGAAAATTCCTGGTGACTTACTAATTATTCTAATCCTTCATACTCTTAGAGCAAAAATAAACAGGTTGATTACTTTGAAACTTTTAACGGCTGAAAAATTAACATACAACAGAATTATTGTGCTCTCGATTATTTTCAAAAGCAGGCAGAATTTCCAAAAACCTTCTTATTTTGGGGAAAAGGATCATCAAAAATTCATGAGTGAGTTGTATTATCTGTGGAGATGATAACATTGGCTTGAGCGCTCTTGGAGACCCGTAGCTGCACATTTTTGATTTTCTTACTCAGGTCAGTTTTGAACAAAAGTCTTACACCGTACCTGTCTAATTGGGAATACCCTTCATGGAGCCAAAAAACTTTTTTTTTATTTTCACATTTTTCCATATTACTTATTCGAATTGGTCAATTTATTATTGTTCGGAAAGAGTAAATGAGTAGTAGTGAAGCTTACCGTACTCCATTGGAGGGTGAGGTGCGTTCGGTATCCGATAGGGAACAGTAGCAACTGTCAATGGAAATTCAAGATGTAAGCTTTCATTGCCTTTCTCGTCAACCAGACATATCTGAAATTGAGGGGACTAATAGTTAATGAGGCTATGAATTACTGGTAATCCTACCTTTTATGAGTAGTTAGATACATCTTAGAGCAACTCGCTAATCTTGGGAGATTCGGCAAGCATACTGCGGCGAATTACAGCAGCTAACAGAAAAAATACTTTTGTAATAGAGAACATAAAGTATTTTTTTGCAAACTGCTGTTATTTTACCGCAGCACCGATGTCAAATGTCTCAAAAGGTTGGCTA